TGACGACCGAGACCATAAGGTATTTGAAGGACCAGGCAGACCCAAGAGACAAGGGCGAGTATCTAAATCGTGCTGAAGTCAATAACCTCTTTTCGACCTTCAACAACGGACAAACTGATATAAGAGTACGGACTTACGGCGGCAGCCACTATGAGGGCATCTTCGGCTCCAAAGGCCCTGAGGATCACCACGCGAGCATAAACACGCAGCGAGACGAATGCCAGAGCAATGAAGTGGAAAGCGCCAACGACGCCGACGATCTGACCTGCATTGTTAGCATTGACGCATTCTGGAGGAAGGCCATCCATCGTTACTTCATGATTGTAAATATGGAGAGGGTAGAAAGAGAGCAGCAGCGACGATGAGGGCAACGTAGACTTATGGATAAGGCCACCCTCGTTTCTCGCGGTTCAGTATCACTGAGAATCCTACGGAGAGTATCAACACTTTGATGCTTATTCTTACGGCTACAAGTGTTAGGGAACCCACGCACTCTTGGCCTCGGCTTGGCCCCACGACTTTCCGGTCCTGGCTTCATGCAAACTTCTTCGACACTTCTGGTTTTAGGCTCAAGGGGGCAAGAAGAAATTTGCACCTTGCAGCGTGTCACAACTTGTCACAACTCGAGCTTCACTAGGAGTTAGCCGTTATTTGATAATTTCTCAGCTTGTGGTAACATTGAAGACGTACCGCACATGCCACAGTAGCCCAAAATGACAGATGTCGTATTTCTTGCGAGACTATTGCTCGATGCGTAGATGCCTTCCTCCGAGGGATCCACTACCCTGTTCGTGACTCCTATTCAACGTGCAATCTTGAAGAATCTGCATTGGTGTGGCACAGGGGAGAAGAGGGGTTGAACATACCGGGATTTCCGGGCAGCGCGTTGCCACATGGGCTACATATGCCAAGAACAAGGATAAAACGGTGAGAGTATAGGGCATCGAGTGACAGATACAGACTGTCAACTCCTCGAACACAAGAGTCGTAACACGAGAACTCTTGTGGCACAGCACAGCTGTTTAGTTCTTCAAGTGGAACAGACGATTCGGCCCAGCCCGATCTTACCACGGACCGCACGCACGGCCTAAACGGACCCATATGACAGGGAGATGTGGGATATCAGGTCGTTTCTCAACGTGAATCACGCTTCCGGCAGCAGCAATGAACGAACCACAGTTCAATATTCAGCTTTCAAGCCAATCTCCCTGTTACTGTTTCCGGACAAAGTCGTGGCGATTTGAAAGCGTGCCGGCAACGCCACAACCGGCCTTCGTTCTTCATCTGTCAACATTGACAAGGAATTTCGCAAAACCGCGCAGAATTCGAATGCATGGGCTTGCTCGGATGATCGAGGCCATCGGCCCGGGTGGGACTTATGGATACTGCTGGCGCCGCGCCCCTGCATTTCAACCCCGGCCACTATCCACCCAGCCTGTTGGTTGATGGTCCAACTTATTCGGACGGCCGGGCTCGGAGCCCCGGTCTCTAAAGCGGAGCATTGTGTCCTAAAATCCTGGTTCGAAAGCCCCTCAAGGTGTAGTATCATCACACCATCTTCGAAAAATGCCTGTATCTCGCTGTTGAACTTGTTGGTTCGACGAAATCAACGTGACATCCAACAAAGTTTCACGATTTGGCTCACCTTCTAGGATCCATCAGTCACAATGCAATTTCCGGCATGCAGCGGCCGTTGGTCCAATGCGGGGTGAAGACTCCATGTCGGCGAGAACGGCTGGCGGCCAAGACGATCGATTCCACCAACCGAGATATGCATACTTATTTGGGAAAGTCAAGTACGTAGGCTATGCAGACGTAGTCTTCAACCTTCGGGAATTGATGTTGTGCTACTTTGCGGGCATTCGACAACTCGATTTAAAATCTCCCGTGATTCTGCAGACTCGCCGTAGACGTGCGTTTCGTTACCAATCGCTTTACCACACCAGAAGCACTGCCGCATTCCAAAAGATCACGTGTGGGTGAGAACTCTCTGAACTATCCACGCTTTCTCAGTCGACATGCGTTCTAGCACGATGCGTGCAGGTGCAAGTCTCGTTGCTACGTTTGTGGCGCAGGGCGTGGCTGGGTTGAGCTGTTGCAACCATACCGTCTCTCGGGATGTTATTGTCGTTGGTGGTGGTGCTGCTGGCTCTCACGCTGCTGTTTGGTTGAGAGACCATGGACAGAGTGTCGTCGTTGTAGAAAAAGCTAGTCAACTTGTAAGTTACGCCCTTTCTTCCGGCATCCTCCCTTCTTTAGATGCCTCTCCTTGAAGCAACTAAGTATCGTAACTAACATTATCTTCAAGGGGGGCCATACGGCATTCTACTATGACTCGGCCTCGAATAAGTCCATCAATGTCGGTGTCCAGGCATGGATGGAGTACAAAGACACCTTTGACTTCCCGAAGCGCATGAATATCTCAACCAGTGGGTCGATGCATTTTACCACACTTGATTACAAGTACGTCGACTTCAAGACGGGCTCGCCGGTGACAGGCTGGAATGCGCCTTCTTCAGACGCCATGTATCCCGCGCTTCAGAGGTACCTCGACGTTCTTGAGAAATACGAGGACATCATCCTCCCAGGCTTCGAGAACTTCCCAGATGCGGACGACATTCCGGAGGACCTGGTCATGCCCTTCCGCCAGTTCGTCGAAAAGTACGACATCGCCGCCGCCGTACCCCAGATCTGGGACTCCACGGCACAGGGCCTTGGTGATACCATGGACGTGCCGACCTTGTTCGTGATGCAGGCTTCCGGCGTCCCCATGGTGCGAGCTTTGCTGGGAACCGCCGCCGCCGCGGTCCCTGCCTCGGGACGCCTCTACGAATTGTACGAGAGCGTGGCCAAGTTCCTCGGCGATGATGTTATCTACTCCAGCACTGTCGTCTCTACGGCTCAACGCACTGACGAGGGTATCTCCGTGAAGGTTGCCGGCGCTGATGGCACCTTGACTTGCATCGACGCAAAGCGCCTGCTCATCGCTTTCGAGCCGACCCCCGAAAGTCTCGCCCCTTTCCGTCCAGACGAGACCGAGACAGAAGTATTTGACAAGATCGAGTTCACCACCGTCTACGCTGGCATCCTACGTCACCCGTCGTTGCAAATCAGCACCGCCTACTCCAACAGGTCGCCCGCTCCCGGCTCGACCAACTACACCGTCTTCCCTACCCCCTCTCAGGTGGGTCGCATCGACTACATTGGCGGTACCAAAGACTTGTTCCAGTTCACGGCTGTCGGCACGGATGAGGATACCTCAGAGAGCATGAAGGCCGTCATTGCTGAGTCCATTGGCAACTTAATTGAGGCCGGAACAGTCCCTGCTTCAAACGGCACAGTCAGCTTTGTTGCCTTTGCGAACCATGGGAAGATGCATCCTCGCGTTACCGGCGGGGAGCTTCGTACAGGATTCATTCAGAAGCAGACAGCTCTTCAAGGCCGCCGCTCCACCTGGTACACGGGAGCAGCCTTCTCTGCAGGCTTCTCGACTGTGGTGTGGGAGTACAACAATGTCATCTTGCCCAAGTTGATTGAGGGGCTGTGAATGACTCGTTTGAGGATTTAATGTGTATATTTGATATTCAACAACGGTCTTCAGAGGAAGATGACCAAGATAGAATGCATAAAGTCTAGACTATAGAAGCACCAGGACTTGACTCCGACTGACTTGGCTCATACTGGAAACTCAACGAGTTGTCGTGTGTGCTGCTGAGACCATCATGCACTTATGGGCACCCGCCCAGAGGCTTGGTGGGGTCCCACTGGCAGCCCTGGCGCGCTTCCAGACCAGCTGCTGCTTCGGTGCGTGCTTCTTGAGCGAGGGGGGCCGCGATGGCCATCGACGCTATTGCGCACCAAAACGTTAGTTTGCAGCGAACTTCCGCGGTTGAAATCGTCAACTAACTTACCGAAAATCGCAAAGACTTGGATGAACTTCATAGTTGAGATGATACCGTGATTGGCCCTTTGTTGGTCTGGGGTTCTTTGTGTTTCCGAGTGATGATGAGAAGGATCAAGTTAGCAAGCAAGAGTCGGCCGCCATCTTTATATACACCTTGAGAACAGTTCTCGTTGTCTTTCAACTCCTTTTCCCTCAACTCTGCGCTCTACGATGTTCCCGCGCGGATGCATCTTTCGGCGCTGTACCTGGATAAGCCCCGCTCTAGAGAAAGGAAATATCTGGTTCGCTCAAAAACTTCATTCTGTTTGAATCGGCGTCCAGTCGGGTTCAAACGAGCGACGATCGCCCCATCTGATAAGCCGTAAATTTAGACTTTGACGTAATCTAATCCATCAGTTTGATTGATTAGATGCTACATTTAACAGCCAGGATGGAAGTAAGGATGCACGTGGGTCAGCATAGTCATGACCATGCTCCTCAGAGCAGGGGCTTCAGGGGTAATTATCTCGTTCCATCCATGGTTATGAGGAGACGAGAAACTATCGTGACGAAGAGGTAGGCTCGATTATTTTATTTCCAGCTTCACCCCTCGTTTGAGGCTTTGGTCTCCCGCCCCCGCCGTTTGTGTTTCTGCCGGGCATTACACCGGCTTTTTTGGGTAGTACCAAGTGTGCTCGGCGAAGAAATTACACCAATAGCGATTCCTCTCACTTTTGAATTACATACACCGGCACGGCGCAATCGGCATCGTGCACCGGACGCCCACCGGGCATACCCCCACCGGACTTGGCATTCTTTATCCGGATGCGACAAGCGATGATGCCGCCCGGGAAAATAAACGTCGATGGGCGCCCATTGAGCTACCTACTAGTTTTCTATGTGCAAGATTCTTTCCGTGAATGTAGTTGAGATGCTGTTTTGCTAGTGGTCTGAGATATTATGGTGATACCCGCGAAGCCAGTGCGTTATAGGAAGAGGTCTGCCATATAAACCCCCCTTTGACCGCTCGAACATTCCTTCTTTCACTCGTTCTTCATCAAAGGATTTTCGAAGGCCATCTTTCAAGTACATTCATCGCGCCGAAGTTACAGACACCATGGCTCGAAATGCTTTGATCGTCCTATTGGGCCTGACACTGCCAGCCCTGGGCGCAGTCCTGAGCGCTCCAGAACCGGTATCCCATTCTGTCATCCAGAAGCGTGATCTCTCTGGGTCATCCTATGTCTGGCTCAACGACAACACCGGTACTCCGCAACATATGGCTTCTGGTGTCTTACTCGGAATTCCAAGCAACCCCGACCAGATCCCTGACCATTGGCTATCTGACATCAAGTTCTGGAACATGAGATCTGGTGGTTCGCAGTTGGCTGAGCCCCGCCGTGGATGGACTCGAGGACTAAACGAGTTCATGGCAAGTACCAAATTAACCTATGAAACCCCCTTACCTGTGCTGACAATGACCCAAGGGTCGCTACGAGTACCTCAAGTCTGCATACCAGGTCACACGCCGCCACGGGGGAAATTTCCAAATCATGATCCATGATATGTGGGGGACCGATTCGTATCCGAATTTCGCCGAGACGCCGATGCCGGGTGACGGAGGAAGCTACGCAGACTTTGACAACTTCCTTGATACGTTTTTTGCGCTGCTGAAACAAGATGGCATGGTCGACAACATTTGGTGGGACCTTTGGAACGAAATTGACAATGTTGACTTCCTCGACCGAGGAATAGACAGATGGCTGGAGTACTGGGGTCATGCGTACCACAAGATCATGTAAGTTGATCACCCAACCCCGGGCCGAGAGCTCTTCCAGCTCACCATTCTACAGGAGGGATTTCCCCAATGCCAAGGTCATTGGGCCGTCCTACGGTCATCTGCCCAACTTTTCGCAAGGCGTCGAACACTATTTCTCACGCTGGGCTGAGTTCATAAAGTCCAACAACTCCATCCCCGACCAGATCAGTCTTCATTTCCTTTACGGGAACGGGGACTTAACTACCTCGCTCAATAGTTACCGTCAGTATCTGAATGCTGCTGGCGTCGACTTTCAGGGTATCTGGAACGTCCAGGAGTACGGCCACCCGGATCAGCAAGTTCCGTCCGGTCTCATATGGAACATTGGCCAGCTGGAGCGACACAACGTGCCAGGTCTCCGGGCCAATTGGCTAGGCGGTCAGGAACTCAACGACTATCTAGCATATGTTCTCGGGAAGGACAAGACCGGTGCCAATTATGACATGTATGACACTAGTTATCGGCCTGCTCGGGAGTATCCGGTGTACGTCTACTATGCCCAGAGCATGACGGGGTATCGTGTACGCACCGAGATGTCCGAGGACACGCTTGTGGATACGTACGCTACCGTCGATCCCAACCAGCGAGTCGTGCGTATCTTAGCTGGATGTCGTCCGAACACTGGCGTCTGGTTTGTCAAGGTTGGCGGACTGAGCGCCCTTGGTCTTCCTGAGTCCGGATCACTTCCTATCAAAGCGATCCGGTTCAACACAGCCCCGGGTCGGTTTGATCGTGTCGCCGAACCTGACGATCTCGGCTACACCAACTACAACTATGGAGATGGCATCGTTACCGTTGCCGTCTATCAGAATGACCCAGACGTCGGCTTTGCTTTCGAGTTCTCGTACTGAGGCCCCTGTGGCACGGAGAGGCACAACACAATCGTTCATGATGGTTCAAGATACTTAACAGGTTACATATTTTACATTCTCTGCAGGTTCACTTGTTTTCCTGCTGTAGGAAGAGCCATAGCTCTCTACTTTCTAAATCATAATCTATCAAACTCCTTTCTCCCTGTCATAAGTCATATCTTATTTCTATGGGCTGTTCTCCATTCGAAAGCTTTCCTTGTAACTTGGTGACCGCTCGGCATCCATGTCGTTGATGTTGCTAGTGCTGCTCGAGCGCTTCTCGTCTTCAACACCAGCAGAGTAGTGACCCGGTGCACTGGATCCGTTGGGAATGTGGAACCTCCTATCGAAACGGCTGAGTGCGTAGGTAAAGACAACGATCAACTCGATAACATAGTTGAAGACGTAATAGCACGCCTTGTGGTGGTACCATGCTGGGTTCGACGCGAGCCGGGGCGTAGTGTAGCTCACGCCGATGCGGAAGCCGGCACCCATTGCTAGCAGGGTGGAGGTGAAGAGAACCAGGATGATCTTTGTCCTGAGCGAACCCTTACCAAAGGGCTCTGGGACGGATTTGCTGGGGATGAGTACGGTCGCGATGACAATCGGAATCGGCAAGAAGGCCAATGTAGCAAGAGATGTTCCGGAAAACAACTGGATGATGCGCGCAGTGTTCAAGGTCGATGGGTTGCGGGTGTAAAAAGAAATGATGGTGATCGTAATGGTCATGATAAGACAAATGATGACGTAGGCATAAAGAGCCTTGAAGGCGATCGAAGGGATGCGACCCCATCCGAAGGTGGGATGTATAGACCGGACCAAACGCTGCGCGAATATGAGGTTGACAATGAAGAGGATGATGACACCGGCGGCCGCGAAGATATTGGCGGCGATTGTCAAACTAGCATTGTCGTGGCGGGTAGACCAGACAATGCGTAGGACCAGCGCCATATTGCGGGCCATGCAGAAACCGGCGAGAAGTACCGAAGGCAGGAACTTGTGCCCGCGAGCTTTATTCCGCCGAAAGATGGTGATATTGAGGACGAATCCGCTGAGGAAGAAAACGATCAAGACGGCGCAGATTGGCACGTCGACATTCACGGTCGGCGTCAAGCCCAGAAGAGCTGTAACTGGTGCATAAGGAGGTCCTTTCGGCGTCTATGCGGTGTCAGCGGTGACAACACGACGGTGATACAGGGTAACTTACCTGCTGGCCACTCGTGGCCGGTGTTAAAGTTGACATGGCTTGGCAGAATTGGATGGCAAAGGAATTGAGTTTGGTTCTTGGCAGGGGTCGTAAAGTTGAATTAGAGTTCGTTCGATGTTGCGAATGCGTGAAAAGATTTCGAATGTTGGCGGTTGTAAGTGATAAGACCTCCAGTCAAGCCAGAGCTTCAATGGGTTGAATGCTTTCAAGTTGACGTGTATGATTTCAGGCCCAGGAGTGAAGACACAGTCGTAAGAATTGCACCCCCATCATCTTGATATCTGCTCTCTCAGCTTCTATATGAACCGACTGCTTTGATATCTCCCACCGTCCTGCAACCGGCCATCGGAGGTTGGTAGAAGGGCCGTGCCGACATTGACGTGGTTGCTGGCATGCGTCTAATGAGCTTGTCGGCATCTGTGCCTCCGTAGCGCCGCTCAGTCCATACAATCCTTGGGGAAAATGTGGATTTTACTACTAAATAAGCGCCACGTCTGTTCAGCCCGGGCCTCGTTGCCATCCGTTGTCCGATGTCATGTGCATATACATTCCATACTATGTCTGGACGTCAAGGGTCTAAGACCAATTACAGCTAGACAATCGGTCTCCGACTTGTCCAGGCCATCAACATTTGACAGCTAAAAGCCCTTTCCATACGTTCATCACAGCCACCAGACTCTAGGGTGCTGTCACACACCCCAGCCACTTGCTTACTTCGGGGAGTGTAGATGCCGTCTTTCTCGGACAGCCACCACAAACCCCGCCGCGATCTTCGTTGCTGGAGCTTGATTCTTAGCACAGCGAAATGTTATTGGAAAACCTGACAAACAAAGATCTCGCTTGGTAATGAATATCAATTTCCAAGGAAAAGAAGGCAACCAAGGGCCTGGAGAGTTTAAGACATGTTCGTCTTTGGATCCGTATGCTCTATCTAAGACTTTAAGCTAGATGCGCTCTGGATAAGCTAGGCCATGCATCGTGAACTCTAAATGACATCCCTCATTTAGTGGCAGCAAGTAACCACGCACTGGAAGTCGGCCTACAAGGTGAAGAGTGAGTTAGCTTGAGTTGCTATGCCAATTAGGACTCTGTTCGTGATGAGGTTTGCTTACTCCTGAAGGTCCGCGGGTGATATCGCCGGGGGCGCTCTTGTAGGTGGGGTCAATGGCCTGGCAGACTTTGATCTTGGCGGCAGCATCAATGTTGAGGCAGAAGTTGCAGTTGGGGTCGCTGTAGGTGCAGAAGCCCTCGGACTTTGATGACTTATTAGCAAGACGATCCAGCGGGTCACGCCTCGTAGCCAGTGTTGCGTGGCTTGGAAGCTAGTGTTCGGTGCTTACCTTGCAGCTGAAGCCCTGGGGAACAGCAGCAACAGCCGTGAGAAGGGAAGCGAAAACAGCGGTGAAAGTAGTAGCACGCATTTTGAATGTTGTGGTTGCGACGGCAAATGAATTTTTGAAGAGGAGAGCGGAGGTTGCTGAACGAGAGACTTGGTGTGGATGGGCTTTTGATAATGAGAGCACAGTTGAAGTATGCGGAAACAACAAAGAGTTTATAACATCATGAGACGCCTATTGTCTGGTGATCACAGTAGTATATCGTCGGAACCTATCCACAGATGACAGGTAAAGTGTCCTCCATGATTCGGCTGTCGGCATAAATGAGTTGAGCTCTGAACTCTAATAAACTAGAGTCCATATTCAGCATTGGTTACGAACAGCTAGAATTGTTCTACTGCTGAATGAAGACCTAGAGTTGTAGATCGTCATGGGTAAGTTGACTCGTACATACTTCTGCTTCCATTGTTAAGGTTACCATGTTTAAGTTCTGCGATCCTGATAGAGTAGTGGGGGAAGAACGAGTCGTGCTGTTCACAGCGACACAGGCAGTGGCCCCCAACCCATTCGCTGCCCCGCAGATCTCATTTCTGTCGTGCATCAAAACTACATAGATACGAAGTGCTAGTCAGAATGAAGTTGCTTCTGGGCATCCTAGCTACCAGTTTAGATTCTTCGAGATCGTCCATACTTCCCCACGCGCATTCTGCGGGCAACGAGTTGCAGAAATACCTCAGCCAGTCCTTACAGAAATGTGAGTTATCAAGGACCGTCGGTGGATCATCCTCGCTCAGGTGAATAAGAAGGTACAGCGGCCCAGGATTTACCATCAATGGAAGATATTGCCCTGGCGCTGAACTGAATTCGACGAGGATAACGGCGACCATCAATTCCGTGCTGTTAGGTTCAAGCAGCGACATGTGTCGAGTGAAGCCAATATGAGCAGTCTTAGGCCAAGGAACATAAAGTGTATAGATTGATGATACGGTTCAGACGGAACATAAGCATTTGGAGCAATGCGTAACAGAGGTTTGAAGTAGGTAGCTATCCCGATACCGAAACCTGAGTCCATTTTCTGTGAATGAATAATCATGTTTACGCGATACCGAAAGTATTCAGGGAGTAACTCAGTACATGTCTTGCAATATCCATGTCTAATAGCTGAACTGAATCGGCATCATGGCTTGCCACATGTCTCCAGATCTAGAGCACACTCATAAGCATAATGATGAGACTTCCGGGATCACTGGAAAGATCTCTTGCAGAGCCTCTGAGCCTGTGATCCAGTGTCATTGTGACCCTATGAAGTCAATTGGCAGCACTCTACGAGGAATGCCCTTGAAGTCTCGGGGATCCCCGACTCAGAATCAGGGTAGACGAAGCCTTAAGTGGGTATTACTGAACTATCAAAGGCTCGCTCCAGAGAGCGAACGTCTCTTACTAGAAACTCGCTACAATCTGCTCTAAGTAGCTGATAATCTTCTCTGCAATGTCTGAACTCCTTAGGTCTTTCCAGTTTGATGAGTGGTAGAAGAGCCGTCCTGTTGCGCTCGCTTCTTTGCATAATGACGTAGCAGTCAGGAGGTCATTGAGTCATGGAATTCGATCAGACGAACTTGAAGTTTGGGACAGCAAGGGTGCAATGCGAGGACCTGACACGGCCCCCTCATGTTTGGGCCCCTTATCGGACTCTAAAGGTAGCAGCGGTGAGTATCAAAAATTCAAGAAGGCCTTCGGGTATACAAACGAGCCAATGGATACAGTGTACTTGATGCAGCTCAAGACTAAATGCAGGTACCCGAGTGCAAAGGTGGTTCCAGGGCTGCGGCGCCATGTAAAACTTTTTCCCAACGTCCTTCTCATCATCACAAGAAATGACATCGCGAAGAGCAAAAAGGGAAAGTAAGGGAATAAGGAAATGTTATGGCTTCGTAATTTCATTCCTTGTGACTTAATGGAATAATCCCTCCTCGAAAATTCAGCGTAAGTTTGAGCGTTCAGGCGCAAACCATACATGAATCGACTGCATACCACACGGGGTTCATCCTCGCGGGCGAGTTGAACCGTCGTATTTACCACCGACGTATGTGCTGGAAGCATCCCAAAACACACAGCCCCCCCCTTTCTCCTTCATCGAGGTAAGGGTTAAGATCAAATGAATTTATCGCATCCCGCGGGCCATATATAGGGCTAACTTTGTAAAGTAGGACTCTTCTGGTCCTGTATTATCTAACTGTTGTGGGAAGAACTACATACACACTACTGTAACAAATGGGGGGATATCTCTTCTAAAACAGGCCAGCCATCGCGACGAGAGCAAATCCAAACAGGCCAGTGCCAACAGTTGCGCCGGTCAACAGCTTTCCAGCGGCAGCGCTGGCGCCGGTGGAGGCAGTAGCGCTGGCGGACGAGCCAGACTGGGTGGCCGAGGGAGCAACCGTCGGACGGATCGTGGT